TGCATGGTCAAAGCGATAACCTATGAAGTAGAGATAGTGCTTTCAGCATGATAAGTCAACATTAATAGTCCTGGTCATGTCTGCAACACACATCAGCAATGACATTTATGGATATAAGCAATAGTAACATATTTGTGATCAACAGTGGTGATGAATACAACAAACACATCAGCAGCACAGCAGCTGCTTTTCATGTTTACCTCTTCTGCACCTGCTCTGAGGAATCTGAACCATGCCTAGAGAAAACAAAACAAAACAACAAAAAAAACCCACCCCAAACATATACACAACCATGTTGACTCGTCTGTTTAATTCATTATCACTAATCACAAGTGGTCCTTTATAGCTGTCAGTAAAACATATATATGTTATATATATATATATATACACACACACAAACATGCACACAGTGTTATGCCAATATTTCCCTAATCCACTTCATTCTCCCAAATAACTATTTTATACCAACCTCTGTTCCCAAATCTCCCAACATCTATCTCCCCCATCTCCACTCTACTAATGACTTTCCTTCCCATTTCACCAAGAAAACAAGAAGCATTAAAAATAAGTTGCACATGCTCTGACCACTACATCTAACAACCTACCTACGTCTGTATCCATATATCCTTTCCCCTCTGCTTACTATGGCTACTCATATTTACGCAATCTCTTCACCTGATGCTGGATCCCATCCCCTCTAGCCTTGTATTCAAAGCCCTAGCTCCAGCAACTGCTTCCTTTTCTCTCCTTACATCAATTGTCCATTCTCTTTCCACTGGTCACCCCCCATGTTAGTACTATACTAACATGCTATATAATCTCTGTATCTGTGATAGGCAGCCTCTAAGATGGTCCCCAATGATCAGTGCTCCTTGTATTAATCATCTTAGAATGTGCCCTCCTACATTTAAGTAGGATTGTTCTGTGTGAACAATATACAGAAATTATAGTATATATTTCCAAATTAGGCTGTAAAAGACACTAGCTCTCTCATACGACTGCTTCTAACCCTTTCTCTCTCTGATCATTCATTCTGAAGCCAGCTGTCCTGTCATGAGAATACCCAGGCCCCCATGGTAAGGAACTCAGATCTCCAGCCAAGAGCCACCAAATAACAGAAGCCTATCTGTAACTACATAAGCAAGCTGGGAAGTAGATCCTCCAGCTCTAGTTAAGTCTTGCAATGACTACAGTTCAGGCCAACAGCAATGACTGGAACTTCATGGGAGACCCTAAGACAGAATCACCCAACTAACAGTTCCAGCAGATGCTTGACCATTAGAAACTGTGTGAAGTAAAAATGTTTGTTGTTTTAAACTGATACATTGTGGGATAGTTTGTTATACAGTAAAAGATAACTAAAAGCATCTAAAATAAGAAGAAAGAAACCCTTCCTCAACTCCACATCCCTGTAGCTAAGGTCCCATCTTGCTGCTTCCGTTTATATAAAAATTCATTGTAGGGATTGCATTTAGTCACTATCTTCACTTTCCTTCTTCTATTCCCACCTGAACTCTCTTGAAATAAGAAATGACATTCATGTTACTAAGTTCAATGGTAAACTCTCAATTGTAATGGTGTTTTGTTCTGCTTAAGAATATTCATTTTGCTACAGAAAAACAAAATGAGACAAATGAAATGTACATGTACAGATAAAAAGCAGGTATGTATTAAACATGGACAGACAAAAGACAGAAAGACCAAGAAACATTTAACATTCTTGAAGCACCTAGTTACTACATATACAGAAGACACAAAAGATTAGAATATACTAAATGTACATGAGACACGAAGAACACAATATTCATGAGGTCTCAGTATGGCCACCCATCAGTTATACCTATTCTGGCTCCATGTGTCCACAGCCCAAGAAACATAAAACCCATAACTATTCTGTAGGTTAACTGGAGAACTAAAGCATACTTGTCTCTGGATCTGTCCAAGAGTGTGTGTGTTTGGCCCAGGGTAGTGCCCATGTGGGCTCTGGTCCTCAGAATCATACTACCAGCTGCGAAGGCTGAAAAGGCAGAGAGAGGTAGGACATACAATACAAACTCTGTGTACCCCAGGATTCAGGTGATCCTTCCACCAACTTGTACTCTATCATAAGCACGTTAACTAATTTCGTATTTTTCCCCTTGCTTTTTTCCATGTATTTTACACTTATTTAATAAGCCATGTAATTAAAGCATCTTGTCCATGAACCTTTTTCCCTATAACTTTTGGGATGGCTTGCCTGGTAGTGTACTTGGGAGTCTACCACTGCATTAGGATAAGTGGCCACATGACATAGGTCTTTATCTGACTCAAGAAACAAAATTTGACAGTTACTCACTTTCTCTGTTTGAAACATTTTCCTTACTTAGCCTCTGGGTCATTACTCCTGGTTCTCCTCCTGTCCCATTGGCAATGTGATTCCCATCTCCTCTGAAGTGCTAGAACCACTTTACTACTCCCTAGATAGCATATCCAATTTCACAGCTTTATATAACATCTACAGGCTGATGAGTCCCAAATTTTTATCTCTAGTCCCAACATTTTACCTAATTTTACCTATTTTACCTATCTCAAAACGTTTTCCTCATTTCCATCATTGCGATGGTCTCTGAAATGATTTCCCTGATTCCCAACTTAGACCCACTTCAGTCTACTTCCAACCCAGCAATCAGAGTGATCTTTCCCAAACATAAATCCAATCATATTAATCCGCTGCCCAAAACACATTAGGTCTTACCAGATCCATCAGAATCAAATCTAAAATCTACGACCTGCAAGGCCTACCTGGTTCGCTCTCATCTTTACCCCCACCACTCACCAGCTTGCTCACTTAATTCCTGCCATGACATAAACACTCCAACTGTGTTCCCACTTCAAGATCTTTACACTTCCTACTCCTTCTTCCTAGGGTGCCCTTTCTCCAAAGAGTTGCATGACTCACTTCCTAACATCCTTCAGGTCACTGCTCACCTTATTAGAGGGGCTTTTCCTTTTCACCTTGCATAAATACAAACTTCCACCTGTCCACTCCTCCCTGCAAATCCATAGCATTTCCAATACTCTTTGTCCTGCCTTATTTTTCTTCATAGTTCAGACTATCACCTGATATGTACGTATGTATATATATGTAAACATACATATATAATCATTTATTGTTTTATTTTTTTCATTGCCTGTCTTACTAGATATTAACCTCCATGAGGTCAGCAATTTCTATATTGTTTATTTTACTTTATTTACTTTACTTGTCTAAAATCCACAGAATGCCTAGCATATAGAAGGTACTCAACAAATATTACTGAAAAGACAAAGTGAATGAGTAACAATAATAGGAGACATTTCCATTGTGAGCCTTAGCAGCAAGGAATGGCAGCTTTATATGAAGGCAAGAAGGTACTGGCTAAAGAAGCATAGGCCCTGCAAGTCCCATAAGCCCAGCAGACTCCAAGAACTATTGAGAGAAGGGGTGTAATACCAAAAGAGCAGGTAAGGACAAGGCCATAGAAAAACTCTTCTGTGGTAATCACAGCCCTGCAGGAAAAAATTAACTGACAGAAAGAAATAATTTTACCACAGAGAAACCTGGAAGATACCCTCTCAACCAAGTGATGAAAATAACATCACCAACGATGGGAAAAGTAAGAACTATATGCTTCTTAATATGATAAACTGAAAACACAACATAACTTCTATGGCATTTCTGCCAAAAGCATGTCACCTGAGGGGTGCCTGGGTGGCTCAGTGGGTTAAAGCCTCTACCTTCGGCTCAGGTCATGATCCCGGGGTCCTGGGATTGAGCCCCATGGCGGGTTCTCTGCTCAGCAGGGAGCCTGCTTCCCTTCCTCTCTCTCTCTCTGCCTGCCTCTCTGCCTACTTGTGATCTCGGTCAAATAAATAAATAAAATCTTTAAAAAAAAAAAAAAGCACAAGTCACCTGAATCTAACCATGAGAAAAAAAAAAAAAGATAAAATTAGTATTAAGGACGTTCTGTAAATGAACTGGCCTGTATTCTTCAAAAATGCCAATGGCATGAAACACAAGGTCTCAAGAAATGTTCCAGATTAAAGGTAACCAAATAAGACATAATGACTGAATGTAATGCATAATCCTGGATTTTACTTTGCTAGAACAGACATTACAGGGATGATTGGCAAAATTGAACATAGTCAGTAGGTTAGATAGAATTCAATCAATGCTAAGTTCCTGACTTTGATAATTATATGGTTATGTAAGAAAAAGCCCTTGTTAATACACACTCAGGTATTTAGTAGTAGAGGGAGATGCTATGTCTACAGTTTATTCTCATAGAGTTGAAAACAAAATTGTTGTATCAGAGAATATAAAACAGCAAAATGTTACCATATGGGAAATCTGAGTGAAGAGTATATGGAAATTCTTTGTAATACTCTTAAAGGTTTTCTGTAAATCAGAAATTATGTCAAAATGAAAAAAAAAATTAAGTGAAAAAACAAGCAAAAGAAATAACAAAAAAGACTAAAAAATAACTGGAAAAATATTTTCCATATATTATAGTAGCTATTTCAGATTTTAAAAGATAATCTCTCTACACAAGTTTAAAATTAAAAATTATAACCGTGAAACAAAAACTGTATATCACTAGATTCAGAATGTGATTTTTTAAATAACATATTCTACCACACTAACATACTACATTTTTTCCTATATCTAAATTTCATTTAAAAACTAGAAACAAATGCCAGGAAGGAAAATTATCATAACACTGGCCTTCAAAGAAATACTGTGATTTCCATGTAATAGTATTTCTATTTCAGTTATTTAAAAACACATGTTAAATTAACATAATCTGAAAAATAATACCCATGATACTTTGAGGATTCAATATGTCCTACTTCAATTGAAAAACTGTGAAGTACTACAGAAAAACCTTAGAACAGTAAAAATGCAAAAGAGTTGATTTTACTTATTTTAATGCAGTGTCAATTAGCTGTTTCAAAAAGGAGATAAAACAAAGCAAAATTACCTTCATGGACTGTAATGCCACAATTGTCACACTGAATTATTTCATCAGCATCCTCGCTATTATCTCCAAGACAAACACAGCAAATCAGAATGTGGTCCATTTTTTGAGAACTCCAGTTTTGACTCTTCTCAAGAATCAGCGAGTCCTAATATTAAAACATATCAGAAAATCACATGATTAAAGGATAATTTTAATAATTATAATTCTCAAAGTTATTTTATGCATTTCTAAAATTATGCTGCATTCTCCATTGTTTTAGTAATTTAGTTTGAAATTTAATAATTCTAAAACATTTGAAAAGTCCACCTGTTTATCAAATGGCCCTCTAAGCACCCTATAATTTTTTATTTTCCCTGCAAGTCCCATATTCTCCTCTTTAAAAAATGAAAGAGCAAGCTTGCGACTAACAACTCTTCCCCTGCTTTACCATTCTGGATTATAGTAAGACATGGTTCCTACACTTCGGAAGCTTATAACCCTGCCTTAAGGGAGACAAGACACACACATATCAAACAGGAAAAAATCAATCCAAGATAACATATAAGCAAATATGTATGGGATGGTATATTTACATACTGGCATAATTACAGACTCTATACTCCTTAACTGCTAAGGAATTCAGAAGTTTTAGAGTCATCAAACTACTGGATGATCGATTCAAGAGGGCCTAGATAGGCGTATCTGTATATACAGGCACAGAAAACCATCTAAAAAAGGATCCAGGTTATCTAGTTGATAAAGCGTGAAGTACTCTATTAAGTTTAAGTCAAGAAATAACTAGTATAGGGTGCCTGGGTGACTCAGTAGGTTGAAAGTCTGCCTTCAGCTCAGGCCATGATTCCAGGGAGAGCGTCTTTCTCCCTCTGCCTCTCTCTCTCATGAATAAATAAAATCTTAAAAAAAAAAAATTTAGTATAAACTGATAATAAGATACTAATAATATAAAAGGAGAAACGAAGATATAATATAAAGATAAAATTTCAAGAAGGAAAAGAGGTTTGCTTTAATTTAAACTGCATTACAGATTTAAACTTTAAATGGTTAACAATGATTCTTATATTATCAGATTGGACATTATACAAGACAGCACTTGAGTCTATATTTTCATTTAAGAACCTAACCACTTTTTCTTATATTTTTGTATTCTTTTAAACAGACTAGCAGCTCTAGGTAACATTTAGAGTCATCATTTCATAGCAATCTATAAATGACATCTGAATGACCCCTGAACATCCCATCAATAACATTTTTTTTAATTCTGTGCTATACACCTAAACTTGCAGCTGATCTATAAAACAAATCAGAAAAAATGCAAATCAGAAAAAAAAGCAAAGTCAAATAGGAGACAGCGTCCATGCTCTAGAGAATCCTAATACTTTAAAATTGTATATTTCGGGTTTGTTTTGTCTTGTTTTTGTTTTTTTGCTCCTCTTTGTTATAAAACCATAGTGTTTGCGGCTTTGGACATGAGTACCAAAAAAGGTAAAAAGTTCCTAAGAAGAAAACTCATGTTTTATAGTACTTTGGTACATTGAGCAAAACAAAAATCTACCCAAATGTTCACCCCATTGGCTATGCTTCAAATTTAAGAGCATTTGACTTAAAGTCTAATGTTTTGCGTTTCATTCTCAGTTCTCATTTAATAACTACTGAACCTCAAAGCTACAGTTTTCTCATCTGTAAAATGGGATGGCAAAAGTAATACCTACCTGCTGACATTGTTGTGAAGATTAAGATAATTGTATGGTAAAAATGTTCCTGAGATATACTAGGTACTCAGTAATTATGTTCATTTCCATTCCCCTTTCCTAATTCTTGTAGGTGGTTCAAGAAGAGGAATATGAGCTGACCATTTATTATACTGAGGAATCTAATCCCTCCAAAAGTTGTAACCCTCAATGAGTACTGCTATTTTAAATATCTTCCCATGGCAAGTCCAAAAAGACTTTTTTCCCAAAATACCACATCTAGGTTAAAAATCACAAACTAGAAAATGATCTAGCCAACAACCTGAGTTTGATGATTGACAGGCTACTCATGTAAAATGGGTTCTGCCAATGCTTTTCCGGTGGAATTACAACTAATGAGCGTTTGAAAAAAGGTTTATCCATGTGGGGAACAAGTAAATTTCTCTGGATCAGAAAAACAAGCATTAATAGGTAGCTGTAATTCCATTATTTTCCTGTTCTTCCCTTTTCTTCAGAAAAAAATGTCTAGATTGTATATCTATACCAATTTCACTCTCCACATACTATCATTTAGAGGCAGAGAAAACAAAATCAACTGGTATTTCTGGGAGACCCATCATTTGAGATTCTTACCAGAAATGTAATACAGAGAGAGAGAGAAATCGAGGGAACTGGAGCCCTACCAAATGACTGACAGATAATGCTTCTAGTGGGAAAATCTTGGTAACACATTCTCTTTTTACCAAAGATTTTACCAAAAAATACATTATTTGAATATTCGGTTTTCACATTAAAATAGATATTGGGAAAGTAGGTTTTGGATGGCACAAGAGTATCACTTACGAAAGAACTTTGATATTATATCATAATTTAATGGAATCTATGGCAATTAGAGGAATAAATGGGGCACTATAGTTGTAAGTCAATGACGACTTTCAGTGAACTTATTCATTTTTTTTCCCTTGGGATTTAAAATTTACACCTAAAATGATAATATTGTCTAATGCGCTCCATGGGTTTAGTGCTCATTTATTTATGTATTCTACAAAGATGATTATAAATACTACATACAACAGGATAAATTCTTAGTTTTATGTATGTCTAATTAAAGGGAACTCCTGAACACTTCATGCAAAACTAGAATTAAAAGAATCCTTATTGCTCTGAATATGAGAAAAAATTAGTACACCAAAGAGTTTGAGCAACAGGTCTTCCTCTAAGTTTTTTTTTTTTCTTCCTCTAAGTTTTTAAAGAAAAAGTTAAATTCTCAAGAATTGGAAGTAATTTTTGCAGTATTTTGAACTGTCTTTTTATATATTAAAGCAGTTGTTTTAAGGGCACCTGGGTGGCTTAAGCTGGTTAAGCATCTGCCCTCGGCTCAGGTCAATGATGCCAGGATCCTGGGATCAAGTCTCACAATGGGGATCCTACTTGGCAGGAAGTCTGCTTCTCCCTCTACCCCTCCCTGCTGCTTGTGCGCGCCCTCTCTCTCTCTCTCCAATAAATAAATAAAATCTTTAAAAAAAAAAAAAAAAAACAGTGCAGTTCTGGGGTGCCTAGATGGCTCAGTTGGTTAAGTATCTGCCTTCAGCTCAGGTCAATGATGCCAGGGTCCTGGGATCAAGTCCCACATCGGGGTCCCTGGCAGGAAGTCTGCTTCTCCCTCTACCCCTCCCCGCTGCCTGTGCTCGCTCTCTATCTCTCTCTCCAATAAATAAATAAAATCTTAAAAAAAAAATGCAGCTCTGGGATGCCTGGGTGGCTTAGTCAGTTAAGCGTCTGCCCTTGTCTCAGGACATGATTCCAGAGTCCTGGGATCTAGCCCTGCATCAGGCTTCCCGGTCAGCAGGGAGTTTGCTTCTCTTTCTCTCTCTCTCTTTTCCTCTGCCCCTCCCCACTGCTCATTCTGTCTCTCTCTAGTAAATAAACAAAATCTTAAAAAAAAAAAAAAAGTTGTTTTATTTTGAAATGTGTAAAAAGCAACTGATATTTAATAAGTCAGAAACCACAAACAGAAGTAGTTATTTATAAATTTTGGCAAAAATTTAAATTACCAAAAATTGGATGACAATTGTCATTTCTTCACATCCATTTAACATCTTACAATCCATTTAACGCAAGGGAGTCTTTTATGAAAAGAAACCAAAAAACTTCCACCTGAAAATTTCTATTGATATAATCTTCTGTCAAATATTAATCCTCAATCAAAGCTCTAGTTTCAAAGTCCTGAAAATGCAAACCATTCTCTGAAAATGCTACACCACCCATCCCCAAAAGATTCACTTCAAAAAACCAAAAAGCAATATAACCTCAATTAATCTCAAAAGCATCAAGATAAAAGTTTGAAAATGGCATGTAACCATACTCCAAGGTGATTGTTCAGACCTCACTAAATTCAAAAAAAGTCATAATTCTATAGGCCAAGGGAAGTCCCCATATGTAGAAAATGTAGGTTTATCAAATGTTCAATTATAGAACAGTAGTTCTCAAGGTGTGGTCTGTGGGATTCTGCTTCATAGGGTCCACAAGTTAAGGCTATTTTCATAATAATAGTGAGGTTGTTTTTGCCTTTTTCACTCTCATAGGTGTATGATGTAGTCTTCCAGAACTAGACAACAGGGAATAGGGTCATCAATCTGACCACTTGTGTGCTTCTGTATGTTTAATTTTTGAAATTCCTGAGTTTTAATTTGAAAGTAACAAAAGCTATAACCTACATAAATACAATTAGGGTTCTCAGTAATTTTTTTTTTAAGAGTGTAAAGTATCCCGAGACAAAAAAGTTTAAAAACTACTGCTCTAGAGTATTTTCAAGGCCTATGGCATAGGCATGTTAAGTCCACTAAGAATCAATAAAAGGCCCCCCACTCAAAAAAAAAAAAAAAAAATCAAATTCCCTAAAAAACTCTAAAATTATTGTAGTTTCTGGAAATCACTTACAAAATGTCCAACATCATTTCTCTACAAGAGCACCTGACGTAACAGCCAAGAAAATCTGCTGTTTATAAACTAAATATAATTCAATTAAGTATTTCTAAAACCACACTTTCAGCTAGTTCTACTACAAAGCAGTATTCAAAAACATAAAGTAGAGAAAAATAAAATTTCAAATATAATCAAATATATTTGTATTAACTAATAGATAATTGATACCTTGATGCCAAAATATCATTACCTAAAATAACTAGGAAGATTAAGATACAAACAATGGCCATAAGGAAACAAGAATTACCTTTAGTCATCTTTACAAAATCAAGAGCATACAAAGAGGAAATTTAGAAATGTAAGATAAAATAATAATCTTGATTAGTTTTTATTAAAATTTGTTTGCTAATTTGAGTGATAAATAGAAGAACCATCAAAAATTACTAGTGTTGGGGAAAAACAGTTACCAAGATTTCAGGTGGACTATTATTGAGTTAAATTAACTTCTATCAGTTCTTCTGTATTTCGGCATAGGGTAAAACAAAAGGAAAAGTAACAGAAATTAACACAACGGAAATTAGTTTAGCTACTATATCTTCATCAAGGCACATTTCCAATAAATGCTCTGCAATCACATTCCTTTAGGGCTTAATCTAAACATACGAAGTCCCATTATTTACTAAAGTCTCTCCTGGTAGGAAAAAAAAAACCAAAAAAACCTAGACAGCACATGTGGCCTTCTAATGCATCATAAAGGACAGTCTACAACCTCCTAAGCAACGTTACATATTACAGATTATTAATAAATGGATAAGGTATACATTTTACCTGTCAAATTTCTAAACATCTGCAGGTATTCCCCACACCATCACATAAAATCTAACTCTGACTTTATCATTAGCCAGCCTACTTTTGTGAATGTCAGGCTAATAAAAATAAAGTAAGTAATGCTACCAAAGGTAAACTTATTCAGTAGATATAGACTATTAAATACTATAAAGTGAACTGGATACAAGCCTACATCAAACATGAACAACTGAATTTTCCATATTTCTAGTTTCCTAAATTGGCACTGGGAATATGGAACTGTTTGTGCTACAGCATTATAAATACTATATTATATTCCAAATGACAATTTCCCATTACTTAAAGATAAGAATTAGGATAGATAGTACTGGAAGCCGACAACATTCTTCATATGAAAGCGGATAACCTAGAAGTTAACCAATGTTTATAATTAAAATATAACGTGTTTCATCACCACTGACATATACGCCCCTCATAGCCTGTTACTTATTATTTTGGCAAGAAAAAAATCACCCAGTTTTTAAATGAAACTTACTTAAAATAGGTAATCATTGGTAGGTAAAACTTGTAAAGTAGAAAAAATGTAAAAGAATAAAGAATAGAAGGAAAATCTTTCTACCAGTTTAACCGTTTTCAATGATATGAGAAAACAAAAAATAAGTGCTTGCTAAAGAACTGAATTTTTGTGACAACAAATACACTAACAGAAATGACAAACTTAATTATTATAGTTCTACATGTTGATGTAACAGGTACATCTACATGTAAGACGACAACTCAATCTTGCTTTTGAAGAAAAACATACACATAAACACACAGACAAAGAGACACAAATGTGTTTGACTGAAGAATCTTGAATGTTGCATCTTGGGCCCAAAGGATAAACCTAACTTTCGGTAGTAGAACTTCAAGTGGAAGAACTGAATCATTACTGTAGTTTTAAGACAGAAATGTTTGTTTTATGATACGAGTGTTTGGTTTTTCTTTTTCATTTCTTTGTAGAGAGAACTTATTCACTAAATATATGTAAACATTTTTATTTACTCCCATACATCTAAAGCAAAGACTTGGTAACTATTCAGATGATGAGTGCTATGACTGGTAAAGGAATTAACTTTAAAATGAATCACTAAAAGTCTGAGGCAATCATTAAGCTGTTTGTTGTCCTGCTCTAAAATATTCTAGAAGTCTAAATTTTCATGTGGATAGGGCATAGCTAAGTTGAAATAAAGGTGACCTTTGTTTTCATACTCCAGTCAGCACCATTCAGCAGTCCTATGAAGAATGGAGTGAGAGGACAGGAAAGGGAAAGGAAAACTACCATATCCCTAGTTTATGGATATAAAAATATTTCTCTAACTATAAAGACTGTGAGCTCCTTGAGGCCGGTGATTGTGAGCTCCTTGAGGACGGTGACAAACAGCAGATACTCAATAAAGGCTGGTTGACCAAATGAATAAATGTTACAGTTAGGGTGCTCATTCACTCCCACAGCTGTCTATCAATAGGATTTCAAGGAAGCTACTTAATATAACGAGTAGAATGGTTTAGAGAAGAATTCCCTTTTCCCCAGACAGACAGAGATCATAAAAATTGGGTTGATCTACCTCATTACTCTTGCTTTGAGATAGTGTCAGGCTATCATTGGTCAGTTCCTCATCATCAGCACTGTTTCTGCTAAGAACTTTACTCTTCTTCTTCTTGCAACCCCCTTCACTGGCAGGGCTGCTATGATCTTCATCATTGCCTTCATCATTCTCATCCTCATCACTCCCACTTCCCTCATCTTCATCATCTTCATTGTCTCCATCACTTCCTTCTTTCTGAGATGCAGATCTCCCCTTTCTCTTTACTACAGTAGGTCGCCAATCATTGTCATCTTCGCTGTCATAGTCATCCATATCATTCAGCTCTTCCATGGAAACAAAATCCAAAAGTGGTCGATTTCGACGAAGATTCCACTTTTTTGGCTCACTGACTTGTTCCTCTGTAGTGGTTGCTGCAGTGGGGACTGAAGGAGATGTGTTAACAGCAGGACTTGTGGCTGGTGTGGTGGCAGCAGCAGAAGCAGCCACATTATCAGATACTGTTGCTTTTTCTTTATCCTCTCTCTCCTTCTCTTTCTCCTTTTCTTTCTCCTTCTCTTTTTCCTTTTCCTTCTCTTTCTCCTTTTTCTTTCTAGGTCTTTCTCCATTTTCTTCTTCCTCCTTCTTTTCCATTTTAATTAACTGTTTTTCTGATGACAGTATTTCTTCCTCTGCAGAATTTTTAAGTTGTTCCTCTTTTACTTTAATATCTTCATTCAGTTCTTCTTCTAAAATATTTTCTTCAGAATCACTACAGGAACCTTCTCCACTGTCCTTTGAAGGATCTTCACTTCCATTACCACTCCCTTCAGAATCTGTTGAAAATATGAGAAAAAAAAACCACACATATGTATATACATACACACACACACACACAACGCTGACACAAATGAAACCACCAAAATTTGTGAGTAACTTGCAAAACAATATAAACAAATTTAAGTCAAAGAATGATAGACATTCCCAACCTGATTAAATAATAAATCAATGGAAGTTGGTATAATGGTTCTAATTCAATATAGCACTAATGAAGATGAATATATGTAACTCTAAATTAAAATGTTTTTGAAAAAGGAACACTATTTTGTGTTATATAGCTCATGCTATATGTGGTACCCTAGAAGCATTTTTTTTTTCTAAAAGTAAAGGTGCTTCTTTTTAAACTGGGCACTTGATTTTAACTTAATGATATAATACAGACCAAATTCTTCTTCTCTTCCATCTTCATCTCATAAACTGTAAGAACTTACAAGCATTGAGTCACATTGAGAACAAGAAAAACCTGGCCCAAAACACCTGGGTCTCATTTATTTTATTCCTTACCCAGCAAAAATGAACACAGGTATTTATGACAGGCAACATCCCGAGCATACTAATCAATTTTAGGAGTATCAAGTACATAAAGGAGACAATAGCATGGCATAGTAAATGGAAGTTCCAACAGCAGTTATCAATTTTCCTGCTGATTAGTATACTATTCATACCAATAAGAGCCACCTAAACTTTCAAAAAGCCCCCTAGAATGAAAGAAATCAATAATTAAAAAAAAAAAATCCATCTTGGAAATAAGCAACCATGGTAGTCATTGAAAAGATTGGCTTAGACTATTAAAGAGTTCATACAGGACTACAAGCTTTCTAGCAAGTTTCTTCCATTCCTGCCTAGGGCAGCCCAGGCCATCTTGGCCCAACACTACTCAATAAATAACCTTCTGATCCTCTTTATATCTAATTGAATAAATAAAAATCTAAAATTTGAAATAACGAGAAGAAAAACAAAGGAAGGGAAGCTGAAAGAAGTAAGAAACAAGTGGTCATTTTCAGGTCATGGCCAACAACTATAGTAAATCTATAAGGTGATACATTCTTTGAGCCTATAACTAAGAAAAGGATAATAATAAAATGGTGAAAAAAGTCTATGTTTCCACACCGTTTTAAGTTCTGTTAACTCAACCAGGCTTAGCTATTATAATTAAATAGACATTAAAAGTAAAGAAAGTTAAAAAAAAAAAGTAAAGAAAATTGTAATTAGTATCAGGTATCTAAAATATCCTAGAAATCCTTTACAAAAGGCTTTGAAAAAAAATCCTGCAAGTTAAATCAATTAAAAATATAGTAATGTACAATAGATATTGACTGGCCCTATAAAATAATTGTCCATCTCAAGATTACCACACAGGGACCCATAGCTTATTTAAAACTGTTGTGAAAAAACACTCATCCTAAACAATCTTACATAGGACACAAGAGCAATATCATTTAGGTCAACAATCCTTATTTGAAACTTATGGAGCCAGATAGCTTTCAGAATTTTGATTTTTTTCCCAGATTTTGGAAGGGTAGCATGGTGCATACACAACGTATTACATTAAAATCTCCAGTGAGTCTATGGCACTATCCTATAATCAAATACATTTCCGCAGTGAAAAGTATAAATATTTACAAATATGATAAGGAAACATTACAAATAAACTATCATTTCTGGTTAGGTTTTACCAAAAATGAGTTTGTATCAAATTTAGGAAACACCTTTAGATTTGAGCTTCTTGAATTTCAAAGAGTGTAAATCCAGTATCACCCACAACTAGGTAACTTCTTTTCAGTCCAACAGTTATACAAATCATTAAGAAAATTATGATTTTTTTTAATACCACTCATAATTAAACCCAACCTACCAAAAAAATAAAACAAAAACCTACTTCTGGTAAAAATAAAAATGATTTCTAGATATTTTTTTAAATAAGAATCTAATAAATAATAAGCAGAGTTGACCAAATACTTCTAAGGCAAAAAGAGTCTCTGTGCATAATGACTAAAGAAAACTGGAACATCTTGCAAATGATGCCATAATTAAGACAGATGGCCATAATTAAGAGAGATTCTCCTTAAAGTACCTAAAAAAGGGTGCCTGGATGGCTCTTTTGGTTAAGTACCTGCCTTCAGCCCAGGTCATGATCCCTGGGTCCTGGGATAGAGCCCCACATCAGGCTCTCCCCTCAGCAGGGAGTCTGTTTCTCCTTCTGCCTCTCACTCTGTTCATTCTGTCTCTCTCTCTCTCTCTCAAATAAATAAAATCTTTTAAAAAATTAAAATAAATAATAAATTAAAATAAATAAAATCTTTAAAAAATTAAAAGTACCTAAAAATTACCAATAAAAACATAGTAGATATAAAAGATTAACTGGGGTGCAAATGTGGGTACCTAATCAAAACTGAGACCAATCCAACTTTGTTATTACTTGATAAAGTTTGCAAAATGTTAAGAATTTTTATGATTTTTGTCTTGGTGGTTGTTGCCAATGCCAATCATTTCTAAATGCACGGGGGTGAGGGGTGACTGGGTGGCTCAGTCAGTTAAGCAACTGACTGGTGGTTTAGGCTCAGGTCATGATATCATGGGTCATGGGATTAAGACCCATGTGGGGCTCTGCACTCAGTGCGGAATCTGCTCAAGATTCTCTCTCGTTCTCCCCCTCCCCTGACTCACACGCAAGTGTTCTCACACTCCCTCAAAAAAAAAAATAAATCTTTAAAAAAAAAAAAAAGGTATGGCAAAATTGGAACTCCTTGATTGTTTTTGTTTTGTAATCATCTCAATAGAAATAAATTTGAAAAGAAAAAAGATTTAAATGTTTTACATCTGTTAACATATTAGATAAATCTGAAATTTTCCCACAAATCCAAATCCTAATAGCTTACCAAACCCTTCATTCTCCAAATATAATATATTATCCATACTCCAACTGCAGGCATCAGGAATATATCAAATTTTATGGCTTTGATTTCTGAAAAATAACTTCTTCATCTGATTAGTCATCACTTCCTTTTGATACATATGCACTTGAGGGATGGAGATAAACAATATTTAGTTACAAGCATAGCTTGACAAAAATGACAATGAAAAAAATCAGTCTTTGGCTGTCTATAATTCTATTCTTATAGGCTGCAAAGAAAAATGTCTTATTATTACAAATTCAAACAATGACTCTGTGTCATGTTCCAAATCCATCACTCTTATATCTTTTTTTTTTTTTAAGTTAATAGACTAGAGAAATAAGTCAGATACTTCAAATAAGTCAGTTGCTTCTTAGCATTAGAAGAAAAGTAATTCTGGGATGATTGGGTGGCTCAGTTGGTTAAGCAACTACCTTTGGCTCAGCTCATGATCTCGGGGTCCTGAGATCGAGTCCAGCATCAGGCTCCCTGCTCACCAAGGAGTCTGCTTCTCCCTCTCCCTTCTTCCCCTTCCCCCTGCTTATGTTCATGAGCTCTCGATCTCTCTCTAATAAATAAAATCTTTAAAAAAAAAAAAAAAGGTAGGGCCACCTGGGTGGCTCAGTCGTTGGGCATCTGCCTTTGGCTCAGTTCATGATCCCAGCATCCTGGGATTGAGCCCCACATCAGGCTCCCTGCTTGGTGGGAAACCTGCTTCTCCATCCCCCATTTCCCTTGCTTGTATTTGCTCTCTCACTGTCTTTCTCTCTCTCTCTCTCTGTCAAATAAATAAATAAAATCTTAAAAAAAAAAAAAAAGTAATTCTAACTCTACAATAAAAATTTTTCTTTAAAAAAAATCTTTAAAATTGAAATAGTTAAATAAAAGGTACCTTTCTCAAATATACAATATATAAAAATCTCTCTAAGTAATAGCTATTTCAACTAATAGAAGTTAAGGAATTTTTTACAGATACAGAATTAAAAAAATAATCTTCAAGAATTCCTTTACAATATTCAATGCTCAAGTTTTCCCCATGATAAATATTAAACAACAAAATTATATTTAATTCAGTTTTATTTTAGCTTTACAACATAAAGAAATGACCTTTGTTCATCAACCATAATTAACTACTCTGTTCCTTGATCTACTGTAATAGTAATCAGTGTTTATAAATATATAGAATATGTAATGGATAGATTACCGGTCTACTGGTTATTCAGTTATCACCTTGGGGCCAATTTTACTAATCCTGTATTTTCTCTTTTTAAAAAAGCCAATTAATCAACACAACTCATCCTCTACTCATCATCTCTAGTTCCAGCTGTGTCATTTATCATTTTCTGAATAAATCCGGACCAGCGGTTCTCAAGTAAGAACAATTTGGAATACTGCCCCAAAGAGAACATTGGCAATGTTTAGACAATGAATGACTGCCATGAAGGTGGGGTTGGGGGCAGGAAGGGAAGATGCTACTGGCAGTTAGTAAGTCGAAAACAGATGCTGCTAAACATTCTACAGTAAACAGGAAAAGCCTCTTACAAAGAATTATACACAACAAATGCCAACACTGCCAAGATTGGGAAACCCTGGTCTAGCAATTAAAGGCCTTAATTTGACCTCATTTATACTTGCCCAGGTGCATCTCTTATTCTTTTACTCAATCCTGATTCCCAAATATAAATGATATTTTCCAGCCTCCACACTTCCAACACTTAATAGTTTCCCTCATCTATACTGCCTCTCTTTCAGTTCCTAGTTCCTCTTATCTCCTCAGTGAATTGTTCTAGATAAATCCAGTCTACAATAGTCCTATCTCCTTGACCTGAACGACAAAAGGAATCAATCATGCTTTGCGTTATCTGTTATTTTACTTACTTAGTTATTCTGATATTATCATACTTCTTTATGAATTCACCACAATATTCAGCAAAATGCTCCTAAACAAAACTACACATCATCAATGACCATTATCTTGATCCACTTAGCAAAAATTAGATAAAGTACAAAATGCACCAAAGCAAAGTCTCAGCCAGACTCTTCCAGCTAATTTTCTGGCAATTTGGCCTAATTAAATTAACTATGGATCAAGATCTAAAGTTAATCACCTTACTCTGGCAAGCAGGTTAGAGGGGACACAACACTGCTATTTTGTCTTAGTTAACAAAAGTTATATATGCACTCATCTTCAAAGACATTCCACTTATATCTTTTATATCTGTGTGTGTGTGTGTATTCCACTTATATATATCAGATAACTAAATAATTTATCTTAACCCCAATTCCAGGACCAAGTCTCAAATATAGCCACTTTAGCCTGAATGATGAAACTGCCAATAATCTGAAATTTGTAATTTCATATGGTCCAAGATTTCCACATATGGTTCTGGTGACTATCACCATAATTCTAATATGATTATACTCTGCCCTCAATCAGAATTGAGAAATTGTGGGGCACCTGGGTGGCTTAGTTGGTTAAGTCTCTGCCCTCAGCTCAGGTCATGATCCCATGATCCTGGGATTAAGCCCCACCGGCTCCATGCTCAGCAAGGAAGCCTGCTTCTCCTTCTCCCCCTGCACCTCTTCCTGCTTATTCTCATTCTCTCAAATGAATAAATAAAAATCTTAAAAAAAAAAAAAAAGAGGGGCACCTGGGTGGGCCAGTGGGTAAGCCTCTGCCTTCAGCTCAGATCATGATCCTGGGGTCCTGGGATCGAGCCCCACATCGGGCTCTTTGCTCAGCGGGGATCCTGCTTCTCCACCTCGCTCTGCCTGCCTCTCTGCCTACTTGTGATCTCTGTCCGTCAAATAAATAAATAAATAAATAATTTTTTAAAAAAAGAAAAAAAGAAAAATAACTAATTTCACATTGAAGATGAAACGAGAGATGATCTATTTTCAGTTTGTACTCTTCCAAAGTCAGAGGCTTATACTTATTAACCTTCAATAATCAATCACTTGACAATCTTATCGGCAGATCATTTTTTCAGCAATATTTATCTTTTTCTATTTTGTTATCTGAGAAACACATGAATAAAATTATGTTTACCTGCAAGGTGCTGAATATAATATTTCAGAATTGTCTATATTCTTAACACCAAACAGAAATAGAAATTTTGTAGTCAGAATTTCTGATTTCAAAAAGGAAAAGAAATTGATGCACAGAATCCTGTTAACAAAAATTAAGGCCAACCAATCTAATCATTTTAACATTAAGTTCTAAGGGAGTCAGTAGTTCATTCAACAAGTCATTTCTAGACACTGTTTTGAAAGAAGCTTTGGTCAGATAGATGATTAGCTACTATTTCTCCACCTCCAGTTTAATCTATTCCTATGTAAGGGCTGGGATTCCACAATTCTAACATGACTGAAAACCAGTGATAAGTCTAATATTTTATTTCCTGTAAGAGTCCAACTACCTCAGGCAAAGAAAGGATTCAAACAAGAAACACTGGTAATCTATAGTAAGCCACCATGTTGGTTATGGGGGACACTGATGCACCTTAACCTAGAATGGAAAATAGGATTCAATTTCTACTATTAACTATTTTAAACAAAATCATTTACTACTATAATCTCCTTTGCAGTAACATAACAAGAACTACACAGTAACCAAGGAAGTAAGTTACAAATAGAGCAGACTAGGTATGATAACAAGAGGGAATAGAAAGTACTTTTTTAGCACTTTAAAAAGATATTTTAAAAAATTATCAGTCTAACAAAACTCATCCTCCCACTTTTCACACATAATTGATAATTCCCATCAACTCTGATTAAGATTTAACAAGGTCAGGAATTTTCACTTAGCTTGAAACCAGAAGTTATCTTGAAAAACAGTTTGTATCATTAGATTGTTTTAACCTTTGTAAGGAAACAGGATACCTGTGCATGACTATAATTCGATAAACAAAAAGAAAAAAAATCTACAAAGTCAGGATTTATTGTCACAGAAACAATTATGGAATACCTAAAGATTAAGCTTTGGAGTTTTTTCATAATGGTATTCAAATAAATCATAACCTCTGAAACCCAATAACTATTGTCACAGTTAACAATCTCTACCAAAACTACATTCTAACCAAAAATATCATCTACCAAGATTCTCAACAAGAGAACTTAAAGAGTTTTGGCTCCTCTCCCTTCCCTTTCTTTCCTTCTTTGGAAGTACCAAACATCAGTGAATTGACTAAACTGGAGAGAAACTGGCTAAGAAGCAAAGGTTAAAAACCAATTAATCAAGATAAACTTAACTTTTGGTTGTTGGGAGTGACCTCAATTAGCCACAATATCCAAGTAGTTTCAGTTTAAGATTACATCTAATTATTTTTAAGATCTAAGGAGCAAAAAGACTTAAATTTTGGCATCAAAAGCATGGATTACATCCATTATGGCCTAAGTGACCTCATGCAAGTTCTTTAAACTCAAGTCCCATGTTATCTGTAAAATAATATCTCCTTCACTAAGCTATTATAAAAGTTAAATGAGATTACAGTAATAAAAAGTTCTCAGCAAATCACCATGCAAATTCTACCTGTTGGTGCTATTTAGAGTAATAATGGAAACATAACACAACCTAATTTCATCTCTTACCATCCCCAGCAAAAGAAAGGAAGGAAGGAAGGAAGGAAGGAAGGAAGGAATAAAGAAAGAAAGAAAGAGTGAGCAATGGAAAGGAGAGAGATATGACTAAGCACAGAAAACTCTCTGGGGAAATACTTTAAAATTATTAAAGGGATGAAACTGAAAAGTAATTTCTTACTTTATTTAAACTTCCATCAGAAGGGGCAAAATTATAAGTAATTTTTATTGTGCATGTATGTATTAGTATTTCTCACATAAAATATTTAAACAATTTATATGCATTTCTCAGATTCTTGCAATTAGAACTATACATATATATCTATACATGTGAAGTACAATAAACAGAAGATACCATGGAAAACCGTATTTTTCTATGTTTTCCAATCTCGTACAATGTGAACATATGACCTTTTTTAAAAAGTTTGTTTTTAAAATCACAAAATATAATGAGTAAGCATATATCTTTGTACTTAGGAGATTTTTGAAAAGCCCAATCCACAAGGTCCAACACCTACCACAAAGTACAACTTTTTACTCTGGTCAACTTTATTCTGATAAGGGAGCTAATAGACAAAAAGCAAAACTCCCCTCAGAGGGTGCCAAGTGATCTGAATAGAGAAGAACCCTGCTTATGGGCTGTTCATGGCTCACATTACTCTCAGGATATTATTTGACTTCCAGATATTTATATATTTTTTCCCTCTATCCATAAAATAAGCATAAATTATTTTTGAGTAAAGAACAGAGAAAACGCTCTGGTATCTATACTCTTAAGTTCTTTTCTACCTGTTAATATCTGAGTATCAATATAAACAGAAGCAATAACAGGGGTCTAGTGAAAGGATCTTAGGGAAATGTGAGAAAATAAATGAAGTTTATGTGCTTTAACTTTAAATTGGCATTTTAATCAAAACCGATTTTTTAAGAGGGTCTGAAAATAAGCCCAACTTTCAGAAAGCTGGGAAAAGGGAAGGAAAAGAAACATTTACCTGAGGCATCTCCAACTTTAAAATCACTGTCATCTGAACTATCATAATCGAGAGCTTCTAGGAGAGAAGCTGCCAAAGGCTTCACCTGCCTCCTCTTGGAGCTGCGATCCACTGTTAAGAGAAAAACATTACATCGTCATTAATAATCACGCCAAGCACAGAAGACAGCGGTGATGCTAAGGGAAGATACAGATGACCTCGAGCAGGGAATCTTTGTCTACTTCAGTTCTCAGCAAAAAAGTGTAGGAAGCTTGCTTGGGGTGGGCACACGGTCTGGGGAGGGCTGGCCAGCAGCACAGGCGGCTCCAGGCTGGGGAGAGGCAAAGGCGAACCCCGGCCAGCCAAAATCAAAGCTGACCCCCGTAACAACATCCTCTTATATTTCAGCGACTCGCTCAAAAGCCCTCACTTAGACACGGAGACCGTCAGCAGAAAGAAAACGCGAAGCCCAGGTAGTGAAAAAAGCCTTGTTCATTCCCGCAGATGTGGAAGGGAAGCTCCCACGAAAGGTCCAGCTTCCAGCAGAAACCTCCCACCCCCACCCTGCTCCCACAGGCCCTGACTTCTAGAAGGGCTGAAATGCACCTTTCTCCCGGCAGAGGCCTCTGACACACTTACTAAGGAATCCGTGAGGTGGTCGTTTGGAGGAGACCTAGGGAGAGGCTGCAAGAGCCTAGGCAGCGCTGAGGTCTGGACTGATACCGCGGGAACAAATCCGAAAGATGCTACTTAAAATCGGCGGCAGCGCCGCCGACCGGACCCGGGCGCCTCAAGAGCAGCCCCTCCCGCCCCCCCACCCCGCCCCCTAGTCCTCGCCGAACCGGCCCTGGCTGCTCGCGCCCCTTCCCACGGCTCTCCCCTGCCAGAGGCTCCCTTAGGCCCCGGCAGCTCTGGGGAGTTAATTTCCTCCGTTAAAACTGTTAGAAAAAATAAAAGAAAGAAAAACTTTATTAGCCTGCACCAGAAGAAACAAAAGACCCAGAAATGAATTTGCACAGTCCGAGGTCGACTGCCTGAGACAATAGAGAAAGCAACGACCCGGATACAGCTCGGAAGAGAAGGAAGTGAAAACCCAAGGCAAAGCGCGGCCCTAAGAGCAGCAAGAGGCTTGAGCGCGTGCGCCGGACTTGGCAGCGGCTCTCCGTCTCTCCTGTTGGAGGAGCCGAACAGATCCGAGTGAGAACCGATTGGAAGCCGAGCGGAGCCGAGTAGTGACGAGCAGGAGCAGAGGGCCCTCCCGGACCCTGAGCGGCCCTTCCCTCAAATCTCTGAGGCTCCACCCCCCGCCCAAATCTGTGGGAGGCCAAGGTTCGTTACTGCTGTTTAAGTTACTACCACAAACATTAGTAATACCAACAGCAACATTCTACCTGCTGCCTCTGTAAATTGCAACCTTTTAAATAATTTGGAACGTGCGAATATTTTATTTCCTGAAAGAGGGAAATGTGAGAATTGCATTAGACTTCGCTACTTTGAAAATTACAACTGCGACGAGAGGGGGAAAACCATTAATTTAGTTATATTAATTAACTATTATTACAACGAGTGTACTGTGGTCAGTCATTTCCACTTTAAAAAAAAGTATTTAATTTTACTGAGAATACATCTAGGGGAAAATAATCCATTTCACAAGTATATCGTGTGTTACGTCAGGATGTATGTGCCCGTAGATGTGAAATAATGCCTTGCATTCACTTAGGGAATTTATTTTTTAAGCTGAATTTTTTTAAAAGATTTTTTATTTATTTATTTGATAGAGAGAGATCACAAGTAGGCAAAGAGGCAAGGAGAGAGAGTGAGAGGGAAGCAAGCTCCCCGCTGAGCAGAGAGCCCGATGTGGGACTCGATTCCAGGACCCTGGACTCATGACCTGAGCCGAAGGCAGCGGCTTAACCCGCTGAGCCACCCAGGCACCCTTAAGCTGAATTTTTAAATCCGTAAAAACTCAGGTCAGTATATACAGCTGGATATGGCAGTCCTTCTGTACAACTGGATATGGCAGTCCTTCAACAGTTTCAAACGCCACATTTATTTACGTACAGGATAAATACTTTTTAAACAATATTAAAATGTTAGAATCTGACTAGCATTAATACTTGACAAAAGTTTACATATAGCTAGAGAAAGGATTTGGATGAAGTTGATTCAGTTCACTAGTTTATTCCACACATAAACATGGAGTGGTAGTGTTTGTGACGTGGGAAAATAAACATGTGGGAATCAAATCATATAATGCAATAGTGGAGCTTAGTCTTTAAAGAAACGTGTTGAGTTATTTTGTGAACTGGAATTGAATTTTATAATATTAAATTTGACAAAAAATAGCAAATATTTACACAAAATAGTATAACTTATGGAATAATTACACAGAGGGTGGAAGGACTGCAAGATAGTTGTCTTTTCCGTTCCAGAACTTAAGGTACAGGTAAGGATAAAAAACGGGTCAGACAATTGCTGTATATTGTGAGACAGGCTACCAGAGTTAAGAACACACATGCTAAGAAGAGAGAAGGCATTCAGGGAAGGCTTCCTGGAGAAAGTGATAGAACCAGACACAGTCTGAACTTACCTGAAAAAAGGAGAAAAGGAGACAGAAGTGTTCCAGACCAAGGAAAGGTCATGTCCAAATGCTCAGGGCTAGGATTACCTAGTTAGATTCCCCAAAAGCTGGACTACTTCTAATGTCCCAGGACATTCCACCATAACAGTAGTTGTATAAATTATATTGCAAGCTCATCTTTCTGTTTCCCTTATCCCTGCCAAAAATGTAAACTCTTCCAATCTCTAAGAATCTCTAGTCCCTCATCCACTGCTATGTGCCCCTCAATCCTTTCCACAGTGCTATAGAAACTTACATTCCTGAAATTTAAAACTTACTTAGTAAACCCTCTTCCTTTCTGTGTCCTTGTCTAAAATGGAAAGTTACCCTGCAGCCCTCTCAGTTGGAGGTCACTCAGCCTCCCACACCTCATTTTCTCAAGATCCAGAGGTGGCATCTAATCCTTAATACTCCCCACCGGCCTTCAGACTTGTTATTCCTCCAGTTAAAAGCCTAGAAAATTAATTATTTGGCCAGCTCCACTTTGGGAACTTAATTTCCATTCTATTTCAAACATTAACCATACTAAGGATTGTTTTACTTCTGAGGTTAGAGAACCAAGCATTCCACTCTCCTCCTAGATTCATTGGGAGGAATTATGCTGAATTATCTAAAAGGAAAAAGACACTCAAAAAGCTAACATTTAAGTTTCTATAAGAAAAAATCCTAGAAATAGATTATCTTTTTTTTTTTCCAGAGATTTTATGAAAGGTCTTTACAGAGCAAAATCCAGACTCCAGATCCAGCTGCCAAGGACACCCTGTTATCCTGTGGGTACTGGCAGCAGCACAGCATACCAGGATGCTCTAGATTCCCATCCTTCTGTTCCAAGATGGGGGTGGTAGGCAATATCTCATCTTTGGGTTCCACAACCCTCACATGATCAAGCATGGGCTTCTTAGAGCCAATCTTAGTACTTGGGTGCCTGGAAAGCATGATCTTCACTTTGATGCCTAGCACATCCTATCTGAGGAGCACATGGTAACAACAGTGTCAACATAGTAGTTAGGGTTCCCACTGTGAATCATCAGGCTATCTACAAACATCATAAATTTAGCCCTCTGTCCTTGCACTTTCTCAGACACCAAGATCTCACAGCTTTTGGCCCCACTCTTCATGACGAACTGCCATACATTATAGCAGGCCCTCCGCACAGCAAGTCCTCCTAGGAGTCTGTATCAGAGAGACTCTGTCCTAGTAATAGCACACAAACCTCTTGTGGTCGCCTTTTCAATTTAAAGTTCTACCCTGCACCCTGCAAATCAAACCTCTTCTGAACCCAGTGGTCAATTCCCAGATCTGCTGGCCCTTCTCACCAAGAACATTCTGTGTCCTAATGGCCAAGACATTGATTTCTTTCCTAGTTGCTATAATTCAGACCTCAACCCCAGAGTAGCCATCTTCAGCCATCACTCACTTGGTAAGTGAGAAATTCATTCAGTTCAGCTTTAAAGATGCCATTGGAAACAAAGTTCTCTTTTTGGAAATTTGCACTACCATCTTGCTGTCATTGGCCACTGCTAGAAATAAACTTTCTGAATAAAAAAATGTAAACATATTTATATTTAACAAACATTGCCTAATTGCTCTCTAAAAATAGGCTGTACTAATATATATTATCACCAAGAGTACGTGAGGATTCTTTCCAAACCCCTGGTCATTAAGTATTCATAATCATTTTTTTAACTTTTAATTTTTAAGTAGTTTTGGATTTATGAAAAAATGAATAATAATACTGAGCTTGTATATACTCCTCACCGTGCTTCCACTAATGTCAACATCTTGCATAACCACGTTACATTTACAATTCTAAGAAATGATCGTTAGTACAATATTATTAAACCGCAAACTTTATTTGGATATTGCTAGTTTTCTCACTAATATCCTCTTTTGCTCCAAGATCCAATCCAGAGGACCATGTTGTATTTAAATTAGCAATCTTTTTAACCTTTGCAATACATGTGTTAAAAGAAAAAAAAAAGACAAAAAGGAAAAAAAGAAGGAAGGAAAGAAACAGAGAAAAAGAAAAGAAATTCAAATAGTGAATTGCTTTTTGATTTGTATTTAATGTGGAAGAAACTGCTAGATGTTTCCCAATACCTATTATCCTTGCCTCCAAAAATGAAAGTCCCAAATTTTAACTAGACACAAGTTTTTCCTTTTTCCTTTCCTTTTTTTTTTTTTTTTTTGAAAAGATTTTGCTTATTTATTTACCTGAGAGAGAGAGAAAGAGAGAGAGATCAGCGGGGAGGAGCCCAGAGCCCAGCACAGGGCTCAAGCTCAGGACCCTGAGATCATGACCTGACCTCAAAATAAGAGTCTGATGCTTAACTGACTGAGCCACCCAGGTGCCCCACTAGACGCGTTTTTCAAGAATAGAGACTACATTCCTAATCTTCTTGAAGTTATATGTGGTTAGATAATTAAGTTCTGGCCAATGGGATGCTAGCCGAAAAGGTAAGTACAACAGGAAATTACATGAAATGAATTCTTTCTTTTTTTTTTTTTTTCTTTTCTGGAAGTCCTCCCCCCAACCCCCAATCATTGTGGCTAGAACTTCCAGTACACTGCTGAATAAAAGTAGTGAGGGCATACTTCCTTGTCTTGTTCTTGATCTTAGAAAGAAAGCTTTCAACCTTTCGCTGTTTTAGTCTGATGTTAGCTGTGGGTTTTCATAGATGCTTTCATTTCATAAAAGAATAACTTCTTTTCTGTTTCTAGTTTGCTGATTGTTTTCATTTTGAAAGAGTTTTGAGTTTTATCAAATGCTTTTTCTGTATCTATTGGAACAATCATGTGCATTTTATACTTTTGTAATTTTGTCAGTATAGTGTAGTACATTGATTTTCATATGTTGAGCCAACCTTGCATTACTGGTACAAATTCCATTTAGTCACGGTGTATATGTTACTGGATTCAGTTTTGCTAGTATTTTGCTGAGTATTTTTGCTTCTATGTTCATAAGGGCCATTGCTTTGCTGTTATTTTTGTCATATAAAGAATCTTCATTGTTTATGAACTGCTATATTAGCATCTCCTATAATATTTTTCTATATGTCTTGAAGGCACACATTGTAAATTACTATTGGCATTCTTAACTCAGAAAAATTTGAATCTCCTAGTGATTTGCCATCTTCTTGTTAAAATACTTGTGTTATATAATCCATCATGCTTTTCTTTTTGTTCTACATTCAATTCAAGGTATTCATGCATTAGTACACATATTGGGAAAATAACTATTTCCTAATTGTTGCAACCACAGACTGCCTTAATGTAGTATTTTGCCAAAGAATACTCTTAAATGTTCACAAATCAAACTGAACATGATTTTACAAGCATCATCAACAAGTATAAAAAGCAGGTTTATAGGTAGAAATGGTCCTTCAAATTACTCCTACAAAAGTTGGTGAAGTAAGGAGCATAGTGTTGTATGGACACTTGCTATATGAAAACAATAACAACAACAACAATGGAAAAACAAAAGACAGTAAACAGAGAGTCTGCAGACCTGAATTTGAATCCAAGCTTTGCCACTGAATTTTTGCTTGACCTTTAA